ACACCACTACTACTCCTGCTCCTACTGCTACTTGTAGTAGTAGTAGTAGTAGTAGTGGCAGTGTTAGTTTCCCCTTCCCCAATGCCACCCCGCCTCAAGTCCTGGCAGGCCTAAACCCCCAAGGACGCAGCCTAATCGGCACAGGAGCAAAAAAATAATGGTCACACAAATTTTCCACCCAACTGGAAGGCGTTGGCACGGCAAACATGTGAGGATGACATAGACTGACATCAGAAGACGAGTGCCTCGAAGGTATGGACAACATAATGGTACACTACATGCCGGGCAGCAAGCATGTAAATCAGGACACGAAGTTGTGTGGCCTGACCATGCTGCAGTGCGCTGTGCCTTGCTCCTTCGTCGTATTTCTGCAGGAGGGATTGCCGGCTCCACCCTATGGCGAGGCAGTGAATCTCGGCTGCTTTCATGACTGAGGGTGGCAGGGGAGGGGGGCACGTAAGAAAGCTATAGAAAGCTCATCCATCATTTGCTGCATCACTAAAGCCAGGTCTGAAATACTCAGACATGACATTAAGCAGTTTTTTGATGAAATGTGTGGGCAGGTTGCATGCGTCGCTGACACCTCCCTGTCTTGCTTTGATCACGACAGCTAGCTCTGTGGAGCTTGCGGGAGTTGTCGTTTACCATTCGCAAGAGAGATCTAGGTCAAAAAAGCACGCAGGATTATCTGGTCCTTTTTCAGTAGTTAAAGGGGGGCGGGGAGGAGGGGAGGGGGGCCCCCCCTCCGTGCCACCACAAAGATGATTGCTTTAGAGGAACCACAAGGTCCCGGCAACATTGAACAAGGTGGGGAGGGGGGGCCCCCAGCCACCGTTGGTCCCCCCCTCACCATAAGGTCTCTTGCACAACATGAGCAACATGACTAAGTTACGCCTTGTGTTGCATGGCCGAGTTTACATGGCCAATTCGGCCTACGTCACGTCTGACCCTGAAGCAATTAGCTAAGTTGCCATCAGGACAGATGGCTGTCGCATGATGGCGCAGTTGCCACTTCAGGGCCAAGAGCTGCAGTCGACAAGCGCGTGGAAGCATTGAACCCGGCACACGTAACATGCTACGTTCGAGACTAAGCCCATCAGGAAAGCTTGACGTCTGCTGAAGCAGCATAAGCAACATGGCAACTTGCGCTTTGTGTTGCATGGCCGAGTCGGCCGACGTCACGTCAGATCCTGCAGCAACTAGCTAAGTTGCCATCAGGACAGATTACATTCGCATGTGGCGCAGTTGCCACTTCAGGGCCAAGAGCCGCAGCCGACAGGCGCGTGGAAGCATTGAAGCCTGCGCACCTAACATGCTACGTTCGAGACCAAGCCCATCAGGAAAGCTTCAACGACCTAACTTAATGGAACAAATATCTGCGACATTGGAAGCGAACCTGCATGGATTGCACGAGTTCTTGTGCCGCGTCGTCCAGCGTCGCGGAGGCTACGCGGCCTCAGTGCCATCAGGACACATGACTTTCGCATGATGGCGCTGCAGCCGACAAACGCGTGGAAGCATTGAAGCCGGCACACGTAACATGCTACGTTCGAGAGCAAGCCCATCAAGAAAGCTTGATGTCTGCTGAAGCAGCATAAGCAACATGGCAACTTGCGCTTTGTGTTGCATGGCCGAGTCGGCCGACGTCGTGTCTGACCCTAAAGCAATTAGCTAAGTTGCCATCAGGACAGATTACATTCGCATGTGGCGCAGATGCCACTTCAGCGCCAAGAGCCGCAGCCGACAAGCGCGTGGAAGCATTGAAGCCTGCGCACCTAACATGCTACGTTCGAGACCAAGCCCATCAGGAAAGCTTCAACGATCTAACTTAATGAAACAAATATCTGCGACATTGGAAGCAAACCTGCCCGGATTGCATGAGTTCTTGTGCCGCGTCGGCCAGCTTCGGGCGGGCTACGCGGCCTCAGTGAAACAACTGTGGTCAGCTGCGTTGCGGTCCTCCGTTCTAGCTTTCGTAGCCCGTTTCTCAAGTTCCTCGATCACTTCAAGACCCCAAAGGCCCGAAATATGCCCAAATCTTCAGCTGCTAAACCCAACTCAAGCTCCGAATCTGGACTGATTGCCAGCCCTCGGTCTCCCTCGAGCTGCACCAAGGAACCTAGCATTGGATTGGATTGTTGGTCGACCTGTATCCGTCATGCAGTTTGATGGTTGGGAGCTTCTCTCAGATTCCATCCGAGCTATGCAATGGAAAGTGCCGGGCGCAGTGTTTGCGACTCTCACCGTGCCACCGCCCCAGGACACCATCATGAAGTGTGCTGACCCTACCGATGCTTGGCTGATCGTTGTAGGCTGAGTCATGAGGCCTAGGCTGACGCCCTTTTTCAGGAAGCAGGTAACATTAACCTTCAATCATAGCAACGCGCAAAGCTCTCACCGTTACCTCGGAGGACTGGGGGCTAAACGGCCTTGGCGGACTCTGGGCCTTCGAGCCCAGCTTAGACTCTCCCGAAGAAGAGCCCTTGGAGTCACTTGGCCAGGGCCACACAATGGAAAGGATAATTGGAAGGTTCAGGTTTGGGGGTTCTAGAACATGGTCGCACATGCGCACTTATCCGCACCTGTAGATAAGCCCCTTCGTTGGCGCAGAACGAGGCATATCGAAGATCAATGAGGCTAGTGGCAGCATGCAAAGTCTGGCATGAGGATGAACATGATTGTGGCGCTGGCATAACGTGGCGATGAAACCTTGAATTTCGAGTTATGTTCATGCGTGAACTTGCAGACTTATGAACAAGTTACAAGAAAGACACACGAGGATAAGGGAGGCCAGTGACCAATGTTGTGGCGATGATGCTGGAGTTGAGTTTGTTTGTTCTGCACGCTTGCAGCCAGAATGCACCTGCCACTTGTTAAGTTCTCAGGCCCTTGCCTGATCCGTTGCCGCAGCTCCCCCCACTGACTTCCACGATGCTGACCGAAACCTGGGCGCGCAAGGCAGCTTTTGAATAATGCTGCTGTCCTTCAGTCCGACGCCTGACCCATGAGGCGGTTGACGAGGATCGACCTAATGTTGATGACATGAAAGTGGTCTCACTTGGCTCCAGCGGCCTGGTGAAGGCCCGGGAGGTGTCCAGAAGAAGGTTAGAAGATGCTGGGAGGCTGTAGCGATGTATGGCAAGTTCAAGTCTTCCAGCCGTTCTCGTGCACACGGCGCAACTCACTTCGCAGTTTGAGGCTTCACTGCTGGCAATGGGGATCGACAGCCCCGAGTTGCCGTTCGATTGGCTTCAGATGCTTGGCTGTTGTGCATGATCGCGCGGCTAGTTCTACACACACTGATCGGCCTTGACTCCGAGGATTAGCGATTCCGGCGTGCTGCATTTCATTGGTCATGGCTGGGAGGTTGCATGTCGGTAAAGCACCAAATGGCTTCCCCCAACAGGCCCCTGACTTGCCATGCTGGTACTGAGGCACCCACTCGTGAAGGGCTAGGAGCCGGTGGGCAGCGACCATCCGAAAAACATGGATTCTTCGACTACATGACCAGGCCTGGTTCAGGGCTGGACTGGAGCTTCAAAAGATCTGCCAGTCCTCAGGAGAAGTGTTCCTGGAACCTCGCTGGTCATGTGCCGCTCGTACGTCCATTCCTTTTGGCATGATGATCCCGCAAAGCCAGAGGCGCAGCAGCAAAGCTAGACACGCGGAGCGTGCTTGCCTTGGTGGAGTAATAAAGTCACCGGCGAGGTTCGTGAAAAATTCACAAGACTTTTTACGCAGTTCGACGAGCTCGCGAAAGAAGAACGCAGTCTCAAGCTTTTCGTGCGGTCTGTGGCGACCTCGAGCGAACTCGGACGGGCTCACGACCTGATGGAGGCTGGATCTCGTTCACCTCTGCTTTGTAAAGCACTCAGTGAGATCGTGGCAAGGCCGTGACCGCGAAGTTTGGCAAACAGGCTGCGCTGTTGCTCCTCGACCCTTTTTGGTGAGCTTTGTCCTGCGGTTTCAAGTCCCTGGGGCAGTGGGCGAACTCACGTTTAACCAAGGCTGATCTGCGACTTTCAGAGTAAAGTCCAGGGACCGCACATGGTGGATCCTTACGAGGATCTTTTGGTCTACTTCTTGGAGGCTTGCGTACAGTCCGCTCAGTAAAGTTTGGGTGAACATCTTCATGATTCTCTGAGATGGTGTAAGTACGTGCAGAGCTTGGTTCTTGCACCATCCGACCCGAGGGATCCGCCCACAAGGAGGCGATTCCATACAAGAAGCCAATCCTTGCCGCATTGGACTGGGTTGCCGGGATGGAGCTTCAGACCCTCGGACCTCGGACTGGACGGAGCGTCGCTCTTTTTTCGTGTGCACGTTGGAAAACGCCAAGGGTGGACGTCGCTTCCGACTTCAAGGCCGGGAACTTGCCGGACAGCAGAAGGGGAGCGCGGGCTTTTCGCCACAGGCTCTGGAAGCTTTGGCCGAGCCAACTTTGTGGGGACTGCGTGGCTTAGGCCGGCAGGCCGTGACTTTTGAATTTTGACGCCTGCATGCAGCCGATGACAGGCGGCTTCAACGCCTTCGAGATGTTGCCACCTGACGACGACGGTGAGTGGCAACCTGGGCCTGAAGAGAAGTGGCTCGTCGATGCCAAGATTGAGGCGGACAATGACAACAATGCCGCGGAAAAGTGGCTTGCCAGCTTTTCAATGCATGACTTGGACCCGTCTTCTTCGCTAGTGTTGAGGGAGAGACAGGCACTGTCTAAGCACATGATTTGCGCAGATGTAGCCGCAGCATGTTGGCTCCTGATTCATTCTTTCGTCGCAATGCCATGACGTGGACGTTCGCCCATGCGGCCCGTGGAAGACCTGCTAGAAGAGCATGAGGCACAGCTGAGGGCGCAACAACTGTCGGCTGATCGTTGCTTCCGCATCCTTTGGTTCATCTTCCAGTGGAAAGAAATTCTCCCCGGTCTGTTGTGCTGACAGGCGCAAGCAGAGCAACAAGCGATCGAGCGTGGACGGCAGCTCGATTCGATGCGCACATGGGTGTGTTATGTATACCTGCATATAATGTGACGTGACCGGCTGTGTTATTCATGCCCTGTTTATGGGCTAGCCAAGGTGACCCTGCACCCAAGAGACGAGTCAGGATCGAAAAAGTGCATTTGGCTCTTCGTGTCTTCCGCCATGTATCGACTGTTCGTTTGCGAGGTCCAAGGCTTTGGCCGGTGCTGAGGGGTCCGGAGGAGCTTCAGCCAAGGGGCGTGCGCCCAAGAAGCAGGCAACGGAAACAAACCGGGGCGCCTTGGCAACAGTTGAGTAGAGCAGCTTGTGCTGCAGCATGGAAGCGGCTGGAGCCTGAGCTACGTTGCTGCAAACGAGGTGACGACGAACATGAACCCGAGCTCGATGACTCTGACTTAGATTCTTCGGACACTTGGCACATGCTGACATGATCATTTTTGTTACAAGCTGTCAATTCGACATGTCGACTTTGAAAGTGGAGCTTTCTTTTGTCAACTTGGAGGACTTGGATGCTACTCTCATGGCAGTTGGTGGTCGGGATCTTGAAGAATCAGGTACCGGGCTAAGTAAGAGCTATGCGCTTCCTGGGGATCTGGTCATGGCTGCCTGACATAGAAGTGTTATGCACTGAGTGCAAACTATACACCCAACAGTGTTCAAGTGCGAGAGATGAACGCATGCGGAGGTTTGTCACGCCTTGCAGCAGTGCTTGTGGCTATGTTTTCGCGAGGCCTTCTGGCACAGAGAATCCGCGCACGCCGGCAAAACAGGAAGAAGAAGAAGAAGAAGCGGAGGTCTCACGTCACGACTTCTTGCATGATCAGATTCCATTCATGATTGTGTGCCTGCCAGCACAGGTGTTTACTTGTGTCAGTACCTGACATGCTGCATCATCACACGTCATCTGACGAAATGTGAAAACAGTACTAGGATGATCACCGCACCTTCATTGCCTGTTGCTGTATAGACTAGTACCTATTCTCACCCGCGGCATTCTTGGCAGTCCATCCCCTGCAAGACCGCAGCTGCGTCCGCAGGAAGAAGACGACTCGCAAAGCTGCACTTCAGTCTTCCCGCGAGAACTGCCAGGCTGAGAGAAGCCGGAAAGCAAAACTAAGCAGGCGAGAGTAAGGTCGCATGATGACTCAACAGCTTTGCAAGACAATGTGGTATCAAGCGTTGAAGAGAGCATAAGACATACCAAGACAAGATGGCATTGCCACAAAGTTTCAGACTGATGTCTGACCCGGACGTTGCTTGGGAGCGAGGCTACGCCCGAAGTGCGCGCACTGCTCTCACGTGGACAGCAACAATTTTATTGCGGAGAGTTCGCCGATGCCATCGAGACGATGCGGGCAGTGATCCGCTTCCTGGGAGCACTGATTAGGTCTGCCATTCCGAGTGCAGTTTCCCCCAACGCCTCCAAGGAGAGCAGCCGGGACTGGCCGACCCATACCACGTCCTGCACCAAGTCTACACGGAGCTCGGGGAGGAGAAGAAGGCTGCGCCTCACCAGCTTGCCATTCTAGAGTCCAGGGAGACGCAGCGACCGGAGAGGCAATTCACCATCTGATCCTGTGCGCCTACTTCACGAAGCCTGCAGCTGACGTTCCTTGTCCAAGATTCTGATGTGATAGGAAAAGTATGTACAGGTCCTTCGGTACAATTCGACAGAAACATATGTCCACAGTCTCATACAACACATCTACCTCTAACTTACTGCACTGGAAATCGAAAAGAAGACAAGCAAGCACACACACACACACTTGATAACATAATCATGTCAGAGCTCACACTAGTCGAGATGACTCGACCGACCCCTATCACTGCGCTCAGAAGGAGCACCAAGCCAGTAGGCACTGAATCAGGCCGAGATGTGACATCGAGCATTCCATAAACAAAGCGGTTGACGGACGACTGTCATGCCATGACGCGCATGATGCACTAAGCTTACACCCACCAGCTGCCGCCATGCGACCCTGGTGGGGTATCTCGTTGAGTTTCGGCCCGTTCTAGGGGGGCTGGGCGTCATCCATGGAGACCCCCTCAAGAACTTTGCTCTATAACCCGTCCCGAAACCCAAGGTCATTCAGCGAAAACGTGCAAGCCCTTTGAAACAGGGGTGGACACAAACACAGAGAGATCGATACAACGGCAGAGTGCTTTCTATCGAAACAGCTGGGTTTGTCAAGGCATGGTCGCCTAAACCCAGGCTCGGCCGCTTTGGCAGAAGATTGGGTATGCATCCACCCGCTTGTCACTCGTCGACCAGGCATCGGGAAAGGGAGGTTGTGAGAAGTGCTGCTGTGGTTTATCGATGCTTATCGAGCTTCGCTGTGGTTTAGGGTTTAGCTATAATGTGTAGCTCGGCGACTGACCAGTTGGTTGGCCGTTGTATTGCTGAGGTGACAAGCTGATCAGCCAGTGTAACCCCCCTCCATCAAACTTGTCGTCTGAACAGCGAGTGTCATGCGGGAATTTGTGCATGTTTCTGTACATGCGTGTATCGTCAGCCTTCGCCATGCCTGATTACAAGTGCCGTGCATGTGTTTTGTGACTTTCAGTGCAGGGGCGTCAGACACGCCCTGTCTACCTAATGCAATGAAGCTACGACTTGGAGGGTCACCGGCATCCACCGGCCACCGGTGCGTACCTGCAGTGATCACTTGTGGCATCGTCGCACCTCAAGCGGGGTATGGTTCATACTCGCTGCTGGTGTCACTGACTGTGACATGTCTCCGCAGTCATGACATACGTGGCATTGCAAATGGAGTTTGACATAGTTTGACCATGTCAGGGTTACCCCGCCAGTCAGTGAGTTGCTCGTGTACAGGTATTCTGCACGATAGTATAAGAGTATAATGAGGAGTGTCATTGTTGGCGGTGGCGCAGGCTTGCTATGCTTTCAAGCGCAGCCTCCCACCTCGAGGCGGGAAGGGAGCGAAGACTGACACTGATGAAACAAGAGAAGCTGGGGCAGCTGGGAGCTCCCTCGTTTCGCGCTTGCGACATGCTCTCAGCGTTTCGAAGCCCGGCCCGGAGCCATGCCTCGAGCACAGGCTCACGCACAGAGGACGACTGGAGGTCTCTTTGGGAACTCTCCAAGCTGCTCTTTCAGAAGGCACCAGTTTGGTAGAGCAGCTGTTGGGCCTTGAGCACTTGAGCCCACGAGAGCGCAGGGCAGCCATGACCAGGGCATAGAGGTCCTGTACGAACTCTACGAGGCACCAAGCAGAGTGCCCAGCTCCGAAGACGGGAGCCCGAAGCCCGAAGGAGACGGAGGAGCCGCAGCTGGCGGTTGAGGTAGCCAAGAAGCTGGTCAGGAGGCGCGGCAGACGCTGAAGCTTCAGATAATCACCCGGGAACTGCCCAGGCATCGCTGGAAGGAGTGTCTTGCCCTGCTGGAAAGCTGTGTACAGAAAGGCCGCGAGGCAGCGGGCATCCCGCAGTGCCTAAGGGACCGAGATTTGCCAAGTAGAGACAGAAGAGCAAGTCTCATCGCTGCAGCTGGCTCAGATTGGCTCAGACTCGAGATTTGGAAGTATACACAATCAGAGTACAATCAGTCATGTGGCACAAAGGCTACAGAGCTTGGAATGACAGCATCCAAGTCGCACTTGCCCAGACGTCCGTTAATACTTGGTCACTTGGTTGCCGGTGCCATGTCAACCGATGAGCCGAACACCCGGATAGAGAACATCCTCCAGTGGCAGCCCATCGAGGGGCGCTGCAGCCTGCAGTTTGTTGCATCCATTGTGCCGGCGAGATGGTCTAAGAGAGCTCGCATGAACTCACACGCTTTGGCAGAGGATCTACTACCCGAGCTTCATCAAGGAGTCGGCGATTCGACGCTTGCAGCAGTGGGAAGGCAGAGAAGGACCGCCTGCAGGTTAGTGCCACTTTTTTTGTTGGCCTGGCGTGTGGGGAACAAATGCGACTGTTCCCGGGCAGTCCAGGAGATGTCTTCCTCGTGTCCAACTTTCCGGTTCGAGGCACAACTGGGTGGACCTCTGTTTGTGACGCGCGCGCGCACAGCCGCCACCAGAAAAGACGGGCAAGAAGCGGCGAGATATTATTGCGGGGTTTGGAGTTTGGACACGGCCATAGGGAGGGCCATTGGCAGCACAGCTTTATGCCGGAGGCCGGTCGGCCAAAGCGGAGTTGACACTTCACACTGGGAGCCATGACGAGTCAGCCCCGGAGGCTTGCAACGAGTCCTCACCTGTCTGGTGGAAGGCCATCTGCTTAGTTTGGCCTTCACGTGAGTCAGTAGGGGATCATTAGAGATCATTAGAGCGAGTGTCCGGTGAGGGGGGGGGGGCTTCTGCCATGCTCCAGGCCAGGCCCTGTTTATCTCGCTGCCTGATAAGTGTCCGAAATGACGTGAAGTCAAAACCAGCTCCTCCCCAGCCGGCAATCTCACGTTGCGACATGAACATCAGCTTGGCCTCGTCTAGGAATCCGGCGGCTTTGTTCTAATTTTTACGTTGCACAACGAGTGGCCGGGCCTGCCGGGCCTGCCGGGCCTTGGCAGAGCTTCGGAAGGCCTTGTGGTCGGACTTCACGTTTTAACCTTCCCCAGGCCGCGACAATCCATGGGAAGGAGGCCTGCTGGACAAGCCGTACTACTGCGAATCTCTGCTTTGAGAGCATGCAGTATGGAACAGCATTTGTGCGTTGGCCTGCCATGAATTCTGAAGCCTAGGCTCCGAAGGTCCGCTGATCCGAATGCAGGAATCATGTTAGCATGCGGGTGGTTGTCAAAATTGTGCTCCCTCTCCTGGTCCTTAAGACAATATGGTACCTAGTATTGAGGGAACCCAAAGAGGGTTCATAGTTTTGAAAACCATCCATGCTGTGACACTCTACTACTACTGCTACTACTACACTACCACGACTACTACTACTACTACTACTACTACTACTACTACTACTAGCCACCCCCTACCAGCTACACTTCGTCATTGTCATCAACATCATCACCACCAACATCGCGAGAAAACAAACACATTTCATGACCAACATCATTAAAATGCAAACACATTTCATCAGCTGTCATCACCAACATCTCCAAAAGTACTGTAAATAGCGAGTAAAAGCTGGGTTGTGTGCTCACGAAAAAGCAAACGCACTTCATCACCAACATCACCAAAAAGCAAATACATTTCATCATCAACATCACGAAAAATCAAACACATTTCATCACCTTTCATCACCAACATCACCAAAACTACTGCAAATACTGAGGAAAACGGTTCCCCCACCCAATTTCGAGTTTTCGCTGGAAGCCGTTCGAGACTCAAAGTTTAAGACGCCCAGTCCAGAAGTAGGGGTGGCAACTGTATAAGAAAGTACGACATCACGAAAGTACTGTAAATACCGAGTAAAACTGCTCTTGTGGTGATATTGTTGGTTGTGTTTGCGTCACACTACCATGCTGCACAGCCCTCCGCCTTGGCGTCCGCCGGGGCCACGCCCTGGCTTGAATCTCTAGCCCATCGCCTTACCGAGGCGACGTGGTTTGTGCTGCAACAAGATGACTGCCCGATACAAACATCGCGCGACACACGCCCAGGGTCTGCTTGGGCGGATCTTCTATTCGCTTTCGTGGTGCAAAAAATCTTGGCCCGGAGAGACTCCCTAGCGGAATGTGCTCATCCCGTGGCATCTGAGCCCCGGTTGCCAGAGGATGCAACCCGTGATCTGCTTCCTTGCAGAGGAGGGAACACTCGTCCGCTTTCGGATCTCATTTGGGCAGATGACATAGCGACAATGAGGACCGTACAGCGAGCTTCCGATCTACCAATCGGGATCAAGGTGTGTGTGGGCACGAGCTGTGACGCGTTTTCCGAATACGGATTCCACCTTTCTTACGGGCACAATAAGACTGCAGTCTTGGCCCAGCCGGTAGGCATGGGCTCCAGATCCACACGACAAGCTCTTTTTGGCTCCAAGGGTATGCGAGGCCGCATCCAGGCCTTGAGAGAGCATGCCACTCCAGTTACGCTACCCCTAATTACCGAGTACCGGCATCTGGGAGCACAAATCTCTCTCCAAGGGCGCATGGGACCGGAAATCCTCTACCGTATTGCGCAAGCTAGAGCTGCGTTTCAAGAGAGCCGTCGGAAGGTTTTCAAGGCGCCCGGCATACCAGTTGCCAGGAAAGCTCATATCCTTCGTACTTTTGTGTTTCCCAAACTGCTCTTTGGGGCGGGTGCCTGGCCGCCACTGAACAACAAGGAGCAGCGCCTCTTCAACGGGGCGCTTTGGTCCTTTTATCGACAGGTGCTGTGTATCCCGAGGACGTCAGACCAGCATTACTCCTTTGCCACAGTGCTGGCTTTGGTCAAGATGCCTGCTCCTACAGTCTTGCTCCATGTGCAGAGGCTCCTGTATCTAGGCCAGTTGTTTCGGAGTGGGCCTGACGAGCTTTGGACTCTCATTAAGCTCGATCGCGGCTATTCCCAGCTGATGCAAGAGTCCACCCGGTGGCTCCATGGCTGGGTGTGCAACACCTGTCAGCTACCACATCCTGACGAGGATTGGAACCTTTCTGGAACAGGAACCTAAGAAGTTCAAGGGTTGGGTGCTTCGAGCGCAGGCTCTGGAAGCCCGGCGCTGCCACGTGGTAGCAGCTCTTGACGGCCTCTACCGCGCATTGAGATCCTATGTGGATCCTGCAGCCCAGTCTGCTCCTCAGCGTGGGCCTGATGTGGAGGTATGCATCCCGTGCGCACGTAGCTTCTCCTCCAGAGTTGCGTGGTCTTGTCATGCACAACGCGTGCACGGGTATAGAACACACGCCTACCTCCTCCGGGCGTCTATGAGCAAACCTCTTTGTCGGGGCTGTGGCAAAATTTATGGCTCTATGGGGCGTCTCCAACGCCACCTGATGTATAGCGCCCGCTGTGTCCAAGAATGGGGCGTCTTTCAGCCTGAAAAGCCGAGCCTCCCTGATGCCCACCAGCAAGCGCCGCCTGAGCAAGTCGAGGGCCGTCTCGATGGTGTTCCACAGTTTGATTACCAGCCAGGAGTCTCCGAACCACTTTTGCAAGCACTCCTAGATGCCGACTCTTGCGACGAGTCTCTGCTTTGGGAGATCATAACGGATCATGTGGAGCCGCTTGTTGTGATTCGAAATACTGTAAGCCGATGGGCGCTATGCTGCAGCTTTGCAGATACTGTAGAAACGGCTCAAAACCTGCTACTCCTGCTGGACCCTGATCTCCTCGAAGTCGCACCCTCTCAACCACACGACAAGCAGCCTGAGCCTGCTGATGTTGCCGTAGAGTGGCCTCCCCTTGCTCCGGTTCAGCTCTATGTCCAGGGCTCACGCCCGTCCGTCTCCCTTCACAGTCCCCCACCCTGCTGCTTCTCTCCCTATGGTTGTAGCAGTATCACCTTGCGCAGTGCATCTGAGTATGCTTGTTGGCTGGAACAAGCATGTTTGTGCATCGCCCAGTGTATAGGGGGGGGGGCGAGGGCGCCGCGCCTATCATTCTGTGTGCAGGGATTGACGGCGCATTGGGACCCGCAAGAGATTGGTTGGCGGCTGTTGGAGCGACCTTCAGCCCCGCCGGGGTCTTATTTGCAATGGGCTGAGCCCTTTTAGTTTCACCTTGAATTCATTGCTAGGCGAGCGTCGGACACGACTCAAACGCAGCGAATGAAAATGGTTGTGTTTGCGTCACACTGTCGTCATCATCCCCCCCACCCCCCACCCACCCCCCCCCCTTCCCCAGAAGCAAGTCCAAAATCAAGAGGCCGAGTTTGCAAACTCGGCAAGTCGATTTTGAGGCTTCTTATGATGATCGTACATGACGAAAGTGCTGTTAATACCGAGTAACACGGATGTGCTCTTAAGATGCTTTTGTGTGCAAGTGTAGTTGGTGGGGGGGGCGCCTACTACTACTACCACCACCACCACTACTACTACTACCACCACTACTACTACTACTACTACTACTACTACTGCTACTACTATTACGACTACGACGACTACCACTACGACTACTACTACGAC